AAGCATGCTAATAAAATTATATGAGAAGGACTTCTAGCTAATTTTTTTTTTTTTTTTTTTTTTTATGTGGACTATCTACCTCATATGGGCCTCGTCTACATGAATAGCAGGGGCAGACCGTGAGCCATTTACATCGGGGGCTAAGTTTTCCGATAATATAAAAAAAAAATTAGAATAAAATGTAACTTAATTTTTTTAATATATATACATCTAAAAAAATACAATCATTTAAGAAATAACTAGCATTTTTCCCCGCAATTCTCACGCTTATTCGGTCAGACTTAGTTCTGAATATTTTTTTTATTTCTTTTACCCATAAATAATCTTGTAAATTCCAACCCTACCATCATAAAATATATCCCTCCTACGAGTCTTTTCATCACCACTGCTCACACATCATTGAAATCCATAGCAGAACTCTGCAAGACAATTCTTCAAATTTTTGAGTAAGTTCTTTTTTTCGGTTTTGACAAATTCTTAATCTTTGTTATAATTTTATTTTCTTTTGTTGAGTTTTTTATTACTCTATCTGCAATTTATAACTATACACAAATTAATATATAATTGAGCAGGGATCGTTATAGAAAAATCGATCTGCCCTGTTGATTTTTTTTTTGATTCGTAGTAATTTTTTAATGTTGATGTTTCTCGCACTTCTGACCATTATGTCGTAGCTATATATTCTCAAAACATGTACTTCTCCTGATTTGAGATTTTATTTTTTGTTAATTGAATATATATATATATATATATATATATATATATATATATATATATATATATATATATATATATATATATATATATATATATTTATTTGATTAAATGATGTATGATTTCTCGCACATTCGGGCCTCTATATAGAAACTGTATACTCTCAAAATATATACTCACAAAAACATGTACATCAATTCTCCACATTAGAGATTTTCTTTTTTGTTAATAGAATATATATATATATATATATATATATATATATATATATATATATATATATATATATATATATATATATATATATATATATATATATATATATATATATATATATATATATATATATATATATATATATATATATATATATATATATATATATATATATATATATATATATATATATATATATATATATATATATATATATATATACATATATATATATATACATATAT